GAGTCCAGCACCAGCATCGAGCTCTTGGCGTGTCTGCCGAACCGAGGCTTCAAGAAAGGCTTGACGCCCTCCTCAAGCCAGCGAACGACGCCCGCGGAGTCCATCCAACCGTTCTCGTGGCAAGCCACGACCACATCTGCACAAAACACGAGCTTGTGGTTAGAACACGCACTCAGAACAGAACGGAAATACACAGGAGTGCACGTCTGTACGTACCGGCAGGAAAATCGCCCTTCGGCAATGTTTTGCGCTTGAAGAACACCCACGGCTTGAGCTTCCTTCTGTCCGCCGTGCACGGCAGCATCACGGTCACTCGCTGCTTCTGATACCCCGCGCTCCTGATAGGCACCGAGCGAGCACCCGTTTCCTCCACGGTGGTGGTGGCGGGCATCTCCAGCCATAGCGGCGTCTGATCCGCGTTGATGATCCACGCGGTGTCGATGCCGCGTGTCAGAATGTTATGTGTGTCTAGCCTGCAGTGGGGTACTCTGTAGCGAGTACAACCCGATTTAGGGTTTCGTATATGTATCCTGCTGCTGCTAGTGAAAAGCCCTCTTTCCTGTTTCTCGTTTTGCCTAGCTTTCTCGACATGCTATCAGAGCAGGTCGACCCTCCTGGGTCGATCCTGTGGGTGGGCCCCACCCGATGCTTCCGCTGCTCTACTGCCTGTAGCGTGCCCAGAGCGCGCGCCGTTTTCTCACTGCCGTGCGCTCGGAGCGCGCAGCGTTTTTTCTTCCCGCCGCGCGCTCGGGGCGCGCGGCGGTTTTCTGCCCCGTCGATCCGCGCGCCGCCCCCCGTCGCCCGTCGCAGCACCCCCGGGGACCCGCGCGTCGCCCCCCGTCGCCCGTCGCGGCCCGCGCGACCTGCGCCAGGCCCGCGCGCGGCCCGTACAGCCCGCGCGCGGCCCGTACGGCCTGCGCCAGGCCCGCGCGCGGCCCGTACGGGCTGCGCCAGGCCCGCGCGCGGCCCGTACAGCCCGCGCGCGGCCCGTACAGCCCGCGCGCGGCCCGTACGGCCTGCGCCAGGCCCGCGCGCGGCCCGTACGGGCTGCGCCAGGCCCGCGCGCGGTTCGTCCGGCTTGCGCCAGGCCCGTGAGCGGCCCGTACCGTCTTCCCCTGTGCCGCACGCCGTCCCCCGAGCTTCTGACCGCGCCCCACCCCCGCTGCTGCCCGCGTTCCTGTGTTAGGGTTTGGGGGTGGAGAGTATGGGGGTGCCGTGTGTGTGAGCCGTCCCCTTCTTCTCCTCCTCCTCCGTCTCCCACTGCTGCAGCTGCCGCTGAGGGGGGTGGATGTGTTGGAGCCGTCAGAGTGGTACGAGGGGGGTGGCGTGTGAGCGGTGCTAGTGGTTCAGCAGGGAGTGTGTGAAAGGGGTGTGGAACAGTTGGGGGAGGTTGACCGGAGGTAGCCGACTTGTCGTCCGCAGCGCCTGAAGTCCAGAGAGCCACGACCCCCTGTGGCCTGAGTAGTCCGGGGCTCTGCGCCCGGTAGCCACGGTGTGAGCACTCCTGGTAGTCCAGAGAGCCACGACCCCCTGTGGCCTGAGTAGTCCGGGGCTCTGCGCCCGGTAGCCACAGTGTGAGCACTCGTGGGAGCACAGCGAGCCAGCAGAGCCTGTCGCCGTGTAGTCCGGGTTTAGCCTGGTAGCGACAGTGCTGCGCACTTCTGTTGCCCGTGTGTCTGCAGCTTCAGCCGTCGTCTCTCATCTTCTCGGCCCCACAGTTTCTCCTCCTCCTCACTTGCTCTCTGTGATAGGCTCTAACGCTTCTTATAATTGTGAACTACTGCTCTGCCTGCTTGTTGTGTTGATTGTACCCCACTTTGGCTATGGGGGTGTGTCAGAATGTTATGTGTGTCTAGCCTGCAGTGGGGTACTCTATAGCGAGTACAACCCGATTTAGGGTTTCGTATATGTATCCTGCTGCTGCTAGTGAAAAGCCCTCTTTCCTGTTTCTCGTTTTGCCTAGCTTTCTCGACACCGCGCTCGCGACGCTTGTCACGCACGAACTGCCAGAACATGCGGCACAGCTCAGCGACACCTGCACGGCGGGAGAAGAGAGGACGGACACAGACGGGGGTGTTAGTACACATGTACAGAACCCACGTCGCAAAAAAACCGGGGTATTTCTTACGCGCGGCGGTTTTCTCGGCAACCCGGGTCTTCATGCAGACGCTCAGATTCCAACGACGCCGAAAGCGCGCCGACCACCTCTGGCTTCCTTTCCACTTCTTGTCCGGGTACAGCAGCCTCATGAACTCCCGCGACCACTCCTGCAGGCGGCCGACTGACACGGCAGAACCCTTGCGGCGCCACTCGAGCAGCTTCTCGTACACCTTCAACTCCATCGGCCGGTACCACGACGACCGCCCGCGGCCGTGCATGCGCTTCCGGGCGGAGTGAACTTCCTTGAGGAAATCCGCCGCTTTCTTCCAGTTGGCGAGGCACTTGCGGTGGATTCCGCTCTCGCGAGCCAAGGCGCGCACCGACACCGACCCATCGAGGCGACTTGCCCACTTCAACTTCTCCGCGGCGGTGTAACCTTGCCGCTTGTGCTCGGTGAGCTTGTGCCTGGGAGAGGGGGGGCGGGCATCACGGTTCTCAGAAGAGGGGTGGGGTCGCTTGCGATTAGTCGGAGGATACGTTGGTATGGGCAGTTTCTCAGGTAGCCCGTCGCGTGACCAGTACTCAACGCCGTCGTCGTCACCGTCGCCCGTAAAACCTTATGGAAACACATCCTCTGCGGTGCCTCCCTCGGCGCCGCCCTCGGCGAAAGCCTCCGTGTCACCCTCGGCGCCGTTTTCGCCGCTCGCATCCTCAGCGTGAGCGACATCATCGTCGGCACCGACTGCAGATTCGTCCCAAGGGCAATCTTCGGGCTGTCCCCAACGTCCTCCAGGCACGTGGTCCACTCGCACGTACACATCCGGCGCGTTGTTAGTCTCCGGTTCGGACAGGAATTCGTCAAACGCCGACGGAAACAGCAGCGTGAGCACAGGCTGATTGGCAGTGTGTTGCGGTGACACATGACACAGAGGCGAAGGAGGAACAGGAGGCGCAGGAGGCGAAGGAGGAAGAGGAGGCGAAGGAGGAGCAGGAGGTGCAGGAGGCGCAGGAGGCTGTGGTGGCTCTGGTGGTTCTGGCTGTCAGAATGCTATGTTTGTCTAGCCTGCAGTGGGGTACTCTATAGTGAGTACAACCCAAACTAGGGTTTCCTATATGTATCCTACCTACTGCTAGTGAAACCCCTCTTTGCCTATTTCTCGTTTTCGCCTACTATCTTGACATGCTATCAGAGCAGGTCGACCCTCCTGGGTCGATCCTGTGGGTGGGCCCACCCGATGCTTCCGCTGCTGTTCTGCTTCTCGCGCGCCTCGGGCGCGTGACGTTTTCAGCCTGCCGCGTTTTTAGGGTTTCTACGATTTTCTGCTCGCCGCGCGCTCCGAAAGCTCGGCGGTTTTCTGCCCGCTGTGCGCCCCGAGGCGCGCGGCGGTTTCCCACCGTCGAAGCGCCCCCCGTCGCCCGTCGAAGCGCCCCCCGTCGCCCGTCGAAGCGCCCCCGTCGCCCGTCGAAACGCCTCCGTCGCCCGTCGAAGCGCCCCTCGGCCCCGCGCGGGCCGCGCGCGGCCCGTACGACCTGCGCCAGGCCCGCGCGCGGCCCGTACGGGCTGCGCCAGGCCCGCGCGCGGCCCGTACGGGCTGCGCCAGGCCCGCGCGCGGCCCGGGCAGCCCGCGCGCGGTTTCGTTCGACCTGCGCACGCCGTCCCCCGAGCTGCTGACCGCGCCCCACCCCTGCTGCTGCCCGCGCTCCTGTTTTAGGGTTTGGGGGTGGCGAGTGTGGGGGTGATAGGTGTGTGCGCCGTCCCCTGCTCCTCCTCCTCCTCCGGCTCCCACTGCTGCAGCTGCCGCTGAGGGGGGTGGGTGTGTGGGAGCCGTCGGAGTAGTACCAGGGGGGTGGCGTGTGAGCAGTGCTAGAGGTACAGCAGAGGGTGTGTGAAAGGGTTTTGGGACAGCTGGAGGAAGTTGAGTGGAGGCAATCGTCTTGTCGTCCGCAGCGCCTGAAGTCCAGAGAGCCACGACCCCCTGTGGCCTGAGTAGTCCGGGGCTCTGCGCCCGGTAGCCACAGTGTGAGCACTCCTGGTAGTCCAGAGAGCCACGACCCGCTGTGGCCTGAGTAGTCCGGGGCTCTGCGCCCGGTAGCCACAGTGTGAGCACTCCTGGGAGCACAGCGAGCCAGCTGCGCCTGTCGCCGTGTAGTCCGGGTTTAGCCTGGTAGTGACAGTGCTGCGCACTCCTGGTGCCCGTGTGTCTGCAGCTTCAGCCGTCGCCTCCCATCTTCTCGCCCCCACAGTTTTTCCTCCTCCTCACTTGCCCTCTGTGATAGTCTCTAGCTTTGCGTATTATTGTGAACTATTGCTATGCCTGCTTGTTGTGCTGATTATACCCCACTTTGACTATGGGGGTGTGTCAGAATGTTATGTTTGTCTAGCCTGCAGTGGGATACTCTATAGTGAGTACAACCCAAACTAGGGTTTCCTATATGTATCCTACCTACTGCTAGTGAAACCCCTTTTTGCCTATTTCTCGTTTTCGCCTACTATCTTGACACTGGCGGGAGACGGGTGCACCACCCGTCAGCGTCTACTGTAAACTCTCAAAATAACTAGGCAAGAATGAATGAACTAGCAGAAGTTTGGGTACAAATATGAAACCCTAGTTGGGGTTGTACCCCATATTGGCTACCCCACTACAGCCTACCAACATATAACACATTACAATTTAACACACCCCCATAGGCAAAGTGGGGGAGAACAAAGGGTCACAAGACCAGTCCAGCAAAGCAACGCAAGCCCAGGGTGGATCACAACGTCACCACACTCCGAGCACAAGCAAAGGCCACAAGGCCAGTTCACATGCAGTACTAGATATAGTACAAGACAAGCAACACAGTGATCAAAACCTAGCAAGCAAGCAACAAGATATATATAAAGTACAGTACAAAGAATGTCAAGCAGTGAGCAAGTGAGGAAACGTGGACACAAGGCCTAAAGAAGTACAGTGCCGCTGATGATCACTAGGCGGGAGCGCCTTGGTGAAGATATCAGCAGTGTTGGCCTTCGAGTCCACGTACACAAGCCGAAGCTGACCGCGCTGCTGAAGCTCTCGAGCAAGAAAGTAGCGAAGAGAAATGTGCTTCGTCCTGTGCTCCAGTCTGTGCTCCTGACACAAGGCAAGAGCCGCCTTGTTGTCACCGTACAGAACTGGAGGAGAACTAGGCCGCTCTCCCAAGTCAGTTAGCAGGTAGGTGAGCCAGCGTAACTCCTGTGCAGCCATGGCTGTGGCGTAGATCTCAGCCTCACAACTAGAGCCGAGAACAGAGGAAGAGCGGGTGGACCGCCACGAGACAGAACCAGAGCCAAGGCTGAAGGTGTAACCCTGTGACGACCGCTGCGTAGCCAGGTCGTCCACCCAAGAAGCGTCCGAGTGACCAGTGAGGACAACTCTGTCGCGTCCTCCAAGCACCAGCCCCATGCCTGATGTACTGCACAAGTAACGCAGCACCCTCTTAGCAGCCTCCCAGTGCTCTCGCCTGTGTCTCCCAGGCGCAACGTAACGAGCAAGGATGCTAAGAGGGTACGCGAGGTCAGGTCGCGTGCAAGTCATCAGGTACATGAGGCAGCCTACAAGCTCTGGGTACGGGCCACTCGGCTCTACGGACTCGTCCGAAGGTGGAGCTGAGAGCGAGTGGCTGGTAGCCAGAGGTGTGGCCTGAGGTGAGGAGAACTGGAAGCCGAAGCGCTGAAGGACCTGCTGCACCATGTGTGACTGAGTCAGGGTGATGGTGCGGCGAGCTCTGTCCCGGGTGATCTGCAAGCCAAGGTAGCTACGCAGTTCACCCAGGTCAGTGCAGGTGTGTCTCTTCTGCAGCTCCGACTTCACACGAGCGAGTGCCTCAGTGTCAGCAGTAGCAAAGACCAAGTCGTCGACGTACACGAGAATGTAGAACGGCGGCAGCGACGTGTCTGTGCGCAGAAACAGCGACGGGTCAGCAGTAGACGGCGCGAACCCAAGAGCCGCAAGTGTAGTCCTCAGTGTGTCGTGCCACTCACGTGGCGCCTGGCGGAGACCGTAGACTGGCCGGCGGAGGCTCCACTGGGTACCAGGGGGAAACGACCCAGTAAAGCCAGGTGGGCGGCGCAGCCAGATCTCCTCGTGCAGGCTGCCCTGCAGGAACGCTGTGCTGAAGTCAAGAGAGTGAAGCTCGTAGTCACGCTGAGCAGCAACGTGCAGCAGAACCCGAAGAGTGGTCATCTTCGGGGTGGGGGAGAAGGTCTGGAAGAAGTCGACCCCCTGACGCTGACTGAAGCCTCTAGCAACGTAACGAGCCTTGAAGACAGGCGGAGAACCTGGCGGCCGCTTCACCCTGAAAATCCACATGCCATCGACGATGTTCGCCCCAGGAGGGGGAACCTCGTCGACGTAGGTGCCTGTGGACTTCCAGGATGCCATCTCTGCGTCCATGGCTGTCTGCCACTGAGAGGAGTAGGGACCCGAGATCGCCTCTGCGTAAGTGCGCGGAGTGGGGATGTCTAGTGCATCCGGGTCTCCCTCAGGGGCAAGCAACCAGGCCACGAGATGAGGTACAGCAGCCGCAAGAGAGTCAAAGTCCTCCTGCCTGTCCTCAAGGACGTCCGTGCCAAGAGCACACTCACCCCCGACGGACGGAGGACAGACAGACGCAGACTCAGACTCAGCAACAAGGCTAGCAGCGTAGTCTAGACGACAGGCAGCAGCAAAGTCAACCAACTCAGCGACCAGAGCAGACGCAGCCGAGGACTCAAAGGTAGGGTCAGTGACAACAGTAGCTAGGAGACGCGTGACAGTAGGGTGATCAGAGCGATACCGGTCAGACTCAGGGTCCGGAACGGCAGGCAAAGAGGACGCAGGAGGAGACGGTAGCGGGACACGCTGAGGAGCAGTAGAGGGACGCAGAGTCATGTAGTGAGTGCCTGGGACAGGAGGAGGACGCTCACGACGGACACGACGAGCAGTGCGAGCAGGACGAACAGGCGACGCAGGACGAGACTCAGGCTCACGACGCTCTGTAAGACCTCCTGTGGGACCAGTGTAAGGAGAGGGAGTAGGGAGAGGCGAGGTAGGCGGTAACTGTGACTGCGGCTGGACAGGCGGAGGACACTCTACGGAGGGAGGAGGACAAGGAGGAGGAGCCTGCCCAAGAACCTGCTGAAGGAGCGGTACGAAGTACGGTCGTGGCCGCGCAGCGTCTCCAGAAGCAGAAGAGACTCCAGCGGCCGGGTCCTCAGTACCAGCAGGAGCCCCAGCGTCCGAGTCCCCAGCACCAGCAGCAGCGCCACCGCTCGGGTCCCCAGCTCCAGCAGCAGCTCCACCAGGTGGGTCCGCAGCACCAGCAGCAGCGCCACCCCCAGGGTCCGCAGCACCGCTAGGAAGAGCACCCCCAGAGTCGGCAGCTCCAACTCCGCTAGCACCACCAGCTCCAGAGGCCCCAGCTCCAGCAGCTCCAGTCGTAGTGCTCCCAGAACAACCAGTCCCGGCAGCTCCAGTACCCCCAGGACGAGCACCTCCAGGACGAGCAGCTCCAGCACCCCCAACTCCAGCCGAGCCACTAGGGCAGCGAAAGCGCCGGACGTACCAGTCACGAAGCTGCTGCGGTGTGAGAGACTGCTCAGCACCCCGAACCGGAGCACCCCCAGACGCAGCAACCCGAGGCTCCGTAGGCTCAGTAGCAGCACCCCCAGGCTCAGCACCCCCAGACTCCGCACACGCAGGCTCAGCACCCCCAGTCGCAGCACCCCCAGGCTCAGCACCCCCAGCTCCAGCACCCGCAGTCCCAGCACTCCCAGGCCCAGCACCCGCAGGCTCAGCACCCCCAGGCTCAGCACTCCCAGCAGTACCACCTGCAGCAGCACCTGAGTCACCTGTGACCTCGACAGGCTCAGCGACGGGAGGAGGGTCTACCTGAGAGACACCTGAAGGAGCAGGAAAAGCGGAGGGGGAAGGGGGAAGGGGGTCTACCAGAGGGGGACCAGGAGCAAGGAAAAGCGGCGGGGGAGGGAGGGGGGCAGTGCGGTAGGGGAAGAGACGGTAAAAAGGGACCGACTCGTCAAAGGTGACGTCCTGAGAGGCGAAGACCCGGCGCGAGGTGGGGTGGTAAAACTGCCAGCCCGGCGCGTCAGGGACAAAGCCAAGGAAGACACAGGGAAGCGTGCGGGAGGAGAGCTTGTCCGCGGACGTATCGCGGACAAGGGCACGAGCACCCCACACCCGGAAGCGCGACGCATCGCCAACCTCCCCCGTCCAACGCAGTGTGGGCGAGGTCTCCGGCAAGGAGACACGGGGCCAGAGGTTGAGCTGATGCGCGGCGTACCGGACAGCAAACGGCCACAGAAAATGGGGAGCCGCCGCGTGGACCAAGGAGGTACGAGCGACCTCCATGACCAGGCCAATGCGGCGCTCAGCAACCCCATTCTGCTGTGAGGAGTCCGGAAGCGTGAAGGTCTGCTCGATGCCCTCCGCCTGACAGAAGGTCCTCAAGAGATCGGAGGAAAACTCACCACCTCTGTCAGAGTGCAGACGCAGGACAGGAAGATCCGTCCGGAAACGGCGGCGGAGCTGGAGACGAACTGTGCGGATCCAAGGGATCAGAACAGCAGGGACCTCACCCTTGGTGCGCAAGGGGAAGACCGTGGTGTAACGCGAGTAGTCGTCGACAACCAGCAAAAAGTACCGCTCACCGCCCTGACCACGAACGCGGGCTGGGCCCCACACGTCCAGGTGGAGGGTCTGCAGAGGAGCCTCTGTCGGGGGGAACGAGGAGGAGTGAGGAGCGGCGCGCTGCCGCCCCTCGATGCAAGGAAGGCAAGGCGGCGCAGGCGAGGCAGGGAGGGGAGGGAGGGACCTGGGAAGACCAGACACAAGGTGGCGACGGTGCATGCCACGAAGGCGTGGCAAGGAGGGGTGACCCAGGCGGTGGTGCCAGAGAAGAGTCTGGTGCGACAGGGAACGACACTCACAGGCGTGGGCCACCAGACCTGACGCAGACACCTGACCGACAGCAGCGACCTGAGGAGACGCAGTGGTCAGTGTGTAGAGACTCGACCCCGGCCGACGGGTAAACGTAGCCAGGTGACGGCCGGTCCTGGAGCACGTGCAGATCGCCACACGCTGTCCTCCAGGGGTAAAGGTGTCAACCCACTGATCCTGGATGACAGCGTTGCTCACCAGGTTCGTCAAGAACTAAAAAAGGTGGAAACCCGACAACGAGCCAGACGGAACCGCCGGACAAGGGAGTACAGTGGTGGACTGGGCAAGGACTGGGCCCCCAGAGGGGTCAGCCAAGGAGACTGGGACCGGTGCAGGAAGCGGTGTGAGCTCAGTACTGTCACGAAAGAAACAACGGGAAGCACCTGAGTCAAGGGTGAAGGTGTGACAGGCCTCAGCCGGTGCGGTACCTGAGAGAGCAGTCTCTGTGGGTGCTGTACCTGAGAGAGCAGACTCACTAGTACCCAGGGCAGCGGGCTCTATACCTGGGTCAGGCGGCACACACAAGTAACAGTCTCCCTCGGCACTAACAGTCAATGCATACATGGCAGCAATAATAGCATCATAGTCAAGAGCAAAGACATCAACACCAGCCCTCATGAGCTCAGCCCAGCGGGGGCGCTCAACATCCTCACCCATCTCCTCACGCCAAGCGTCATCAAGGCGGGAGAAGCAGCGGTACGGGGTGTGGAACCTCCCACACGTCTGTCCCTTGCGGTCACCTGTGCGAATGACATAGGAACAGCGACCACTGCCTCCCGACGTCCCACGCTGAGCAAGCCACTCACGAAGCTGCTGGGTCGTCTGGGGACGCTGCTGCTGCTGGGAGCTCTGGCCCGAGCCAGTGCCTCCACTCCGACCTCCGCCGCCACCACTACCACCGCTCCGACCGCCACCGCCACCACCGCCACCACCGCCGCCGCCGCCACCACTGCCACTGCTTCCTCCGCCGCCCCCGCCTCCACCGCCGACCCCACTCCCACCAGCGCTCCCGCCACCGCTCCCTCCAGCACCGCCTCCTCCCCCACCTCCCCCACCTCCCCCACCTCCTCCCCCCCCAGCGCCACCACCATCACCCTTGCCCCCCTTGCCCTTGCCGGTGCGGCGCCTCCCACCAGGAGCAGAAGCAGCGCCAACAGACTCAGCACCAAGGAAGTCAACAGCAGCAGCAGTAGCGTAGGAGGGAGCGAGGGGAGAGGGAGAACACCCCTCAAAGATGGGGGTGCGAGGAGCGCCGCGAGCAGCACCTACAGCTACAATGCTCTTCTCGGCTGCTAGCAGCTTCTCCTCTAGGAGGGCGACAGTGAGCTCAGTGGGACAGCGAGCAAGGAAATAGTCGCGCACTGAGCTGAGGGTGTCAGGGAGACGGGTGACTATGAAGTGGAGTGCCCAGTACAGGGGAGGGGGGTTCTTAGCGCAGAACTCGGTGGGAAGGGCGGCACGCAGGCGAGCATCACTAGTGCGAAGGTGGGTGATAAGATCGGCGACTGTAGCAAAGGTGGACAGGTCAGGGAACAGGTAAGGCAGCATGAGACGGCTAAGCTCGGCTGTGGCAGGTGAGGAGTAGCGAGCAACGACAGCGTCGTATAGGGCTTTAGCGGTTTTGCAGTCGCCAAAGTGCTCTAGCTCAGCTAACGGCAGGTGACTGCGAATAGCCAGGCGAGCTGCAGCGTCACGAGTCTGCCACTGTGAACGTACACTAAGCTCGGCTGTGGCAGCAGGAGCAGCGGCAGCACCAGACGCGTAGTCATAGAGGGAGATGTGGTCCGTGCTATTGCTCATAAGATACAACTGCAGGTCATCGAGCCAGGAAGTGAACTGCACGGGACGGCCCTCAGCATCGAAGGAAAGAACGCGAATAGAGGCCATAGCTCAGGCGTGAGGGCACAGCAGAGCAGCGGCAGCAGCAGAGGGGACGCGCTAGAGCGAAGCTAGCAGCCACAGCAGGAGCAAGCGGCGGTGCACAGGCAGGGAGCAGCAGGCGAGGCGGGCGGCGCTGCAGGCGGGAAGTGCGGCGGGCGGGCTGCGAAGCGGGCAGCGGGGCGGGCGGGCGACGCAGCGAGCGGGGCAGCGCGGCGGGCGGGCTGCGAAGCGGGCAGCGGGGCGGGCGGGCGACGCGGCGAGCGGGCAGCGCGGCGGGCGGGCTGCGAAGCGGGCAGCGGGCGGGCGGGCGACGCTGCGAGCGGGCAGCGAGCGAGCGGGCGACGCTGCGAAGCGGGCAGCGGGCGGGCGGGCGACGCTGCGAGCGGGCAGCAAGCGGGCGGGCGACGCTGCGAAGCGGGCAGCGGGCGGGCGGGCGACGCTGCGAGCGGGCAGCGAGCGAGCGGGCGGGCCGCGAAGAGGGCAGCGAGCGGGCGGGCGGGCTGCGAAGCGGGCAGCGGGGCGAGCGGGCTGCGAAGCGGGCAGCGGGGCGAGCGGGCGACGCTGCGAGCAGGCAGCGCGGCGGGCGGGCGGCGAGCGGGCAGCGTGGCGGGCGGGCGACGCTGCGAGCAGGCGGCTCGGCGGGCGGGCGACGCTGCGAGGGGCGCGCGAGGGCGCTAGCGAGGGGCGCGCGAGGGCGCTAGCAAGGGGCGCGCGAGGGCGCTAACGAGGGGCGCGCGAGGGCGCTAACGAGGGGCGCGCGAGGGCGCTAACGAGGGGCGCGCGAGGGCGCTAACGAGGGCGCACGAGGGCGCTACGAGGCTAGGGCACGGGGTAGCGTGGTAACCGCATGCGAGCGGTGGTGGGCCCTTAAAAAAAAAAACGGTCGGTAGGTCCTAGGGACCTCCTGCTCTGAATACCATCTCAAAATAACTAGGCAAGAATGAATGAACTAGCAGAAGTTTGGGTACAAATATGAAACCCTAGTTGGGGTTGTACCCCATATTGGCTACCCCACTACAGCCTACCAACATATAACACATTACAATTTAACATAAACGCGGGCCTTCGAGTAGGTTTTTTCTTGAACAATAAGTAGGTGCCGCTGAATTCCGCCATGGCTTCCGCAGCCAGGCGGGAATGACCAGAAACGGAACAAGAAAGTGAGAGAAATGGTGCACAAATGAGCGATTCAAAGGGACCCCTGCTGGTTTGCGCCTCGGGGTCCTCGTCGGGGCGAGACGGGTACCCCCTGTCTGAACCCGGAGAGGAGGGTATCGTGGCACGAACATGATGCGCTGGCAGGTCATTCCACCGCCTTCTCGATGGTTCGGGTGAAATGCAGCTGCCTGCCACCGCATGGTACCCTGATTGGGCCGCATGGCAACATTCACGTCAGCGCTGGCAGATTCCCTGCTCCTGGACGGGGTTTGTGCGGTCGGGAATCGAATCGCGGTGGGTTTCGGTGGGATTTCATGCATTTCCTCAGCGCACGTTACACGATTGTGTTCGCCTTACTGCGGGCTTCGATTTGGTACCCTAAAATAGCAAGATCATTTTTACCCATGATATAAGCGCCGGCGCTTATGGCCGTGACTCAATTACAAGCGCCCCTCCTAAAAAAACTGGTTTTATTATAAGCGCACATGCGCCTATATCCGGGGTTATACGATATGTGCTCCCTGTTAAACTGTATTATGCTTGTAGGCTGTAGTGGGGTAGCCAATATGGGGTACAACCCCAACTAGGGTTTCATATTTGTACCCAAACTTCTGTTAGTTCATTCATTCTTGCCTAGTTATTCTGAAATGGTATTCAGAGCAGGAGGTCCCTAGGACCTACCGACCGTTTTTTTTTAAGGGCCCACCACCGCTCGCATGCGGTTACCACGCTACCCCGTGCCCTAGCCTCGTAGCGCCCTCGTGCGCCCTCGTTAGCGCCCTCGCGCGCCCCTCGTTAGCGCCCTCGCGCGCACCCTCGTTAGCGCCCTCGTGCGCCCCTTGCTAGCGCCCTCGCGCGCCCCTCACTAGCGCCCTCGCGCGCCCCTCGCCGAGCCGCCCGCTCGCAGCCCGCCCGCCCGCTCGCTGCCCGCTTCGCGGCCCGCCCGCTTCGCAGCCCGCCCGCCCGCTCGCTGCCCGCTTCGCGGCCCGCCCGCTTCGCAGCCCGCTCGCTCGCTGCCCGCTTCGCGGCCCGCCCGCTCGCTGCCCGCTTCGCGGCCCGCCCGCTTCGCAGCCCGCTCGCTCGCTGCCCGCTTCGCAGCCCGCCCACTTCGCAGCCCGCCCGCCCGCTCGCTGCCCGCTTCGCGGCCCGCCCGCCTCGCAGCCCGCTCGCCCCGCTGCCCGCTTCGCGGCCCGCCCACTTCGCAGCCCGCCCGCCCGCTAGCTGCCCGCTTCGCGGCCCGCCCGCTTCGCTGCCCGCTCGCAGCGCCGCCCAGTGCCCGCTTGCTGCGTCACCCGCCCACCTGCTGCCACCCGCTGCTGCCCGCTTCGCAGCTCGCCCGCCGCGCTTCTCACCTGCTGCTCCCTGCCTGTGCACTGCCGCTTTCTCCTGCTGTGGCTACTAGCTTCGCTCTAGCGCGTCCCCTCTGCTGCTGCCGCTGCTCTGCTGTGCCCTCACGCCTGAGCTATGGCCTCTATTCGCGTTCTTTCCTTCGATGCTGAGGGCCGTCCCGTGCAGTTCACTTCCTGGCTCGACGACCTGCAGTTGTATCTTATGAGCAATAGCACGGACCACATCTCCCTCTATGACTACGCGTCTGGTGCTGCCGCTGCTCCTGCTGCCACAGCCGAGCTTAGTGTTCGTTCCCACTGGCAGACTCGTGACGCAGCTGCTCGCCTAGCCATTCGCAGTCACCTCCCGCTAGCTGAGCTCGAGCATTTTGGCGACTGCAAATCCGCTAAGGCCCTGTATGATGCTGTCGTCGCTCGCTACTCCTCGCCTGCCACAGCCGAGCTTAGCCGCCTCATGCTGCCGTACCTGTTCCCCGATCTGTCCACCTTTACTACAGTCGCCGATCTTATCACCCACCTTCG